TGCTCGTAAGGAAAATGACGTGCACATGTAGAAAAATTCGTCGATATACGACGATGTCTGTCTGCATGCCTGCCTGCCTGCCTGCCTGCCTGCCTCTTCGCCGTGCAAGATATCGCCTCTCCGTTTTCCGTGGGCGCTGAAACTCTTCTTCGACCTGCCCCACTTCATCCTCTCAGCTCTCGCCGCAGCTGCGCATCATCCTCCATCGTTCTCCAGGCGCGCGTCTGGTGGCCACGGGGCCGACGACGCCGTTTCCCTCCTGCGCCAGCTGTGCGTCGCGGCGATGGCGGTGGCAGCAGCGGTGACGGCGGCGGCGGCGAATCGAGCTGCGCGCATGAGAGAGCCACGGGAGGGCGAAGGATAGTGTGTCCGGGTGTCGGCTGTGAGAGAGGAAGCGAGCGAACCGGGGCTCCCTTTTCTCTCTGTCTCTCCGGCCGCATATTCCGGCGGGAAGGGCCGCGAGGAGCCGATGATGGGAACAAGGCGCAGGCCCCTAGATATTTGCGGAACCAGGTATCCGAGGGAACTCTAACGCGATCCGGAGCCGGTCGGTATTCCCAGCAAGCCCAAATCATTCGGATTATTCGAATAACGGATTCGGTCGAAATGTTTCGGCGTGAAAGTTTCGGATCTTATCTAAGATCCGTTGGTTCGAACACTTATAAAGAACTTTTCAATGAGTTGCAAAGTGAAACCATGAAAAAGAACCAGTGGTCGCGTGATCTGAAAGATATCAAAACGTAGAGGAACAAATTTATACGAATTAATAAATACAGAATCTATTACTAATCTAGTTTTCACACAATCTCTTTTTCTCGAAGAGAAAATAATTTTCCTCCGAGAGGTTTAAACTCTTCAAGAGCCCTTTGAATAAATAATGAAGTTAATACGAATTAATCTCCGAAAACAGTGTTACGATTGAAGTGCGCTTTGAAATGAAAAAAAACTTGCCGAAGCTCGTGACGAAAATTGAGCGAAAGAGTCGAAAAGAGTCGCGTGCCTGAGGAAGGTGAGAGAGAGAGAGAGAGAGAGAGATAACCGGAAATTAGTCTGTCCTTATTTGAGCGGCCGTTTGGTGAACCGCACCGAGGCCAGGCAGGCCTCCTCCGTGCGCGGTCGCTCTTCTTTTCGGCGGCTTCTTTCCTTCGCTCGATCGGGGGAGACCCACGCGAGCGATCGAGGGAAGGAGAACGGGATGCAAAAACGTTCCTCGGCGGAGCCTCCGCGAAGACGCCTCCAAATCGCTCTCTAACAGAGATGAGAGCGAGAAGAGCCGCGACGAAAACTTTTCCAAAAAAATTAAATTTAACGAATACTTAATTGTTAAATATTTAGCCTGTTTAAATATTTCTTGAGAGAAATACTTTTTTCATTAAATATTTTTTAAGTATAATTATTATGTCAGATATTTCTTAGGTGTCATAGTTAATCGATAAGTATTTTAAGACCATACTCTATTTATTTCTCTTTTAATATTGCGAATATATAGACATTCTAGTTATAGTAATAAATCCTGAGAACTTTCTCAAGCCTTAGAACGGACACGTCTATTAAACTGACTATTGTTTTTAATTTCGAAAACGAAACAAAAGATATTTTACAGAATAGCAGGTAAAACAGACAGATTAACAAAAGAGCTTTAAAATTTAAAAGATTTTTAGAATGATCCTTTTGTTAGACATGCCTACACAATTAGTCTCGCTCGAACGTTTCGTTTATGATTAATTTTGGCTGACTGTTACGAGAACGTAATGGTGTCAATAATTTCCTGATCAATAAAGCCTCCCCGAAGCGGGTGCGGATTTCTAATCGAACAAGCTACACAATAGACGATCGAACTGGTCACGATCTCCATATATATCGATATTTATACAAATATATCTAGCAGATTCTACCGATCGTCATGATTACATCGGTCATCGATTTTGACTATAATAGCAAATTTTTAATAAAATTAATGAAAAATGTATAAAAATCGAATTGGGAGTTTGATAACACATACACGAGTCTAAAAGAATAGTTTATGATTTGACTTTATCATTCATCGACGATTTCGTGTCTTATAATATCCATGATCACGGGAGGGATTTAATAATTCTGGAGATGTCGGAGGACAAGCTCCTGGACCTATTTCGATAGCGTTAAAATCTCTCGCCGCTGGAGCGACCCGTCCAAGTACTCGTTATTTGCATGTATTCTCTTGCTATTACGTTGTAAATGGCGAATCGTTACTGTTATCGGCATCGATCGGCTTGTTCGTAATATTTTGTACGATAAAAGAAGAAGAAGAGGAAGAAAAATCTGACCTAATTATAGCCGAAATTCTATCGCGATCGATACGCCAGATTAATCACGGTAAAGCAGTCTCGAGTTTACTCTTTTTGCGTTAATGTTAATGTTTCATTAAATTGATGAGAATCCTTGGAATCCTTTTGTTTTTTTCGTGTCGCTCAACTTTCTCTTCGTTCAACCCCTCGGGAATGAATAACATATCCAAAACTTTCTCTCAAAAACTATACCTGTCACTGCTTCAGAAATCTCATGTAGGGGTAGAATAGACATGCATATTTCTCGTCAAGAATAAGCATCTTTTTCCAGTGACTAAATTTCAAAAAATGCATCGTTTTACAAGACGAAATGATTAAATGTTGATTTTTATCCTTTCAGTTAATTATTATATTATTATATTGAATCGAAAACGCGCGATCCCCTTTTGATATTACTAGATATAAAATTTTAATTTTTTTTTAAATTGATTGACATAACGGATATTTATCATGTCAGTCCCGCAAGGATCTCTTCATCTTTCGACGTATTATAATCGTGTTACAAATAATTAGCGAGAGTGCACGGTTAGAGAAACATACTCATCTCAATACGCCCCGTGACTCGAAATCATTTAGACGATTGGAATAACGGGCGACGAGAAAATATCAGAAGAAAGACAAATAAGATATTTATATAATGACTCTTCCAAGAACAGTTTATAGAAATATTTATAAATTATAGACTTGGGATAAGAGTAGTTAAATACGCTTAAAAAATTCAAAAATTCAAGAAGATGTTAACATGTATACTTTTAGAGAATTGATAATATATTTTGATCATAAGATATTTTTGACATTGCAAGGCGCGCAGTGCAAGCTATCGCTACAACGACTACAATTTGGCACTGCTTTGTCACGCAGCGAAGAAAAAAAAAAAGGAATAATCAGGAGACGAGGTCAAGATAGGAAGACGGAGGTATCAAAGAAACAATGATATTGTGATAAAGCGATAGTGCGATAACGGTGATATATATTTGTTATCCACATTGGAGAACACAAAAGTTTTCGTTAGATACCGATCGAACATTACGGAGGAGTGCGGTGATACATATAAGTGATAAAGTAAAAACACGTCGTAGAAGAGAAAGTGAAGGTGCCACACAGGTCGACGAGATAACGATATCCCGCGCGGGATAACGCGGAAGGCGTGCGCGCCACGAGGGTGCCGAAAAGGACCCTAAAAAGGACCCTCGATTCGCGGTGGCTTTCGCGCGGCGATCTTCCTCCCTCCCCCGCGTTTTCCCTTCGAAGGCCGACGGCCTTCGCGCACGCGGCCGTTCCTTGCAACAACCCCAGGTTGCTGCGCGCCCCTCTTCCTCCCTCTCTCTCTCTGCCCCCCTCCTCCCCCTCCCCGCTCCCCGCTCTCCTCCACCCGACCGACGTCCTCCTCGTCATCCCTGCCGCGACGGTAGACGGTGGAGCACGATCATTGGTTCACCGGGTTCACGCAGGCACGGTACACGCAGCTGCCACCTCTTACGCTACAGGCCGATCGGAACAAGACGTCAGTTCGGTGGAGAAGCGTCGCGAGTGCGGGTGAAGCGCGTAATCATCCCTGTGTTTGTGTGCGTGCGTGTCATCGTCCCTGTGTTTTTTTCGTTTCGTCCTTGTGTTTTGTTTTTTTTTTTTTTACGCGGCTTCAACGTTCATCCCTCGCGAGATTCTTTCTATCCTTTTCTCTCCGGCATATACGCGTTCATTTCCGGTGTCATCAAGATCCATTTGTGAGGTGAGTCTCTCTCTCTCTCTCTCTCTCTCTCTCTGTCTCTCTTTGCGCTCTCTCTTTTCAATCGCGTTCTCCACGCCGCTTCAGACGCCGGCCGGCCGGCCGGCCAGCCGGTCGGTCATTTGATTATTTGTTCTATCACTTACAACGCCATCTCGATACGAACGGGTAGTCGATCATCGTAACAGGGTACAAAAGGCGACACCTCTCGCGAACGCTACGCACTGAATCTCGTCGCATATATCATTGTTCGACATTGCTTGTTTCATCTCTCCACTTTTTCTCACTCGCTCCCCTGTCTCTTTCTCACCCTCTCTCTCTCTCTCTCTCTTTCTCTCTCTCTCCCTTGTTTTCGCATTATTGGTTCTACCACCCCTTTGTTTTTTTACTTTAAAATACTAAAATTTGTCGAGAGGGGGAAGAGATATTTGCATCCAAAGTTTCAACAACCACGTGTTATTTATCTGAGCGTCGTTATTATTCATTTCAATGCATTTTGTATCTTCATCTCTGCATAAACCCGCATCTTATTCCCTCTTTTTCCTTTTAAATTAAATTTTCACTTAATCTTAGACGCAATATATATCTTACATACTACCTTTCTTTTTCCCTCGTGCGTCCCACTGTTTTCTTCGTCTCCATCATTTTCTTTTCCTGTACCTGAAAAATCTCATTATTCTTGTCGAAGGTCATTTTAAGGATCGATCTATTTTTTTTTTACTTTAAGGCTGGAATAAGATTGGTCCTTATTTCATTGGATACTGGATGACGAATCAGCATTTTCCTTTTCCAAAAGTAGGGACGTATACATCCCTCATCCGTCCCCGCATCTTGATTTCGTTCACAACGGTTTGAGGAGAGGAGAACATTTTCCATTAAGATCACGCCCGCGCTCGAGTTCACTTCGTCGTCGTCTCGTATAGATAACTCCAAGTCACTCCCGATAGGATGCCGCAGTGTGCCGTATCAACGTGCCGCAATAGCCATCGTCGGACCCGCAAACAATCGGTCCGCTATCACCGATTTCCGCACAAGCCAGAAGTGCGCGAGTTGTGGGTGCGCGCATGCGGTCGCGAGCCCCTCGCCAACGGCGAGGCGCCCTTCAACATCAACACGGCGCGCGTCTGCTCCCGCCACTTCCTCGTCGAGTTCTACGAGGACGAGAGCAGGGAACAGGTGATGCAAGGTAATCAGAAGCGGAACAGACTCCGGCTCGGGGCCGTGCCGATGGTTGCCGTGCCGGTTCGCGTGGAACCGTGCTTCGATCTGCTCAATGAGAACGAGAAGAAGAGATCCACGCAGGCGGCCCGTATCAAGGTTCCCAATCCGAAGCGCGTCCTCCTTCAGACGGATGGACAGAAGGCGGCCAACCTGGACCAAAGTGACGAGGGACCACAGTGTAAGACGGAGGAAGGTGGCAATAGTAGCGGCGAGACCAGCACTAACAGCGATAGCAACACTAGCAATAACAGTAATAGCAGCAGTAACCATTGTGTTATAAACGAAGAAGAAGAAGAAGAAGAAGAATCTGAAACGAAAGAAGGGAAAAAACTGAGGTTTCTTAAGAAGCTTGGTCTCATTAACGTTGAGATGTTATCTTGGTGAGTCATCGTTTTTTCTAAGCTGCTCCGTCGCCACTCGGCAACTGAGCTTTATGTTTTTTTTTTTTTTTTTAGTATTATTATTCATATTTTTATATTTGAAATGTGCAAAAATAAAATTCATTTGATCGCTCTCTAAGAGCGACCTAACCTGAACCATCCGCCATTTTGGTCTTCGTGCACATGTTAGGACGCAGAGCTTGAAATAATATCTCTCCCAGTTTCATCACGTGCATGTAAAAACAAGCTGATTATCAATTATCGCAACATCTTTTTCTTGCGATTAAATCTCTTTTATCGTTTTAACGCAATATTATATGCCACGTGGCGATATATATTCTTATATAGAAATTCTCTCTATATATAATATTTATTTAATTATATTTATTTTTATTTAAAAACTGGGTCAACAAAGAGAATAAATAAAATTTTATTTATATAAAAATATACATGGGGGAGGACCATCTTTTTCAATCATAAAAATTACCGTTACACCTTAATCTTTTACAATAAAATGACAATAAAATACACAAGGAAAATTTATTTAATCTTTATTCGAACGCAGTCATAATCAATATCTGGAAATTTATCGCCATGTGATGTATATGAATTATTGCAAGATTAATAATATATATATATACACTTATATATTTTTATATATTTTATTGTTATATATATAGAATATTATATTTCTTATGTTGTTACGATTTTTACATCGTTCTTCATGATGTTATGATGATGACTGCGTCATGAAACGCAATTGAAGACGAAAAATTTTAGCACGTGGCGGAAAGCTAGCGTAAATGCACGCGAAAAACTCATCCGCCCCATTGATGTCCTCGCGAAGAACAATGGCATCACTCAAAAGACTCCCCCCGATAATAAGTGTGTTAGTCGGCCGCGTGCGCGCGGTGTCGCGTTCTGCGGATTTCAAGGTCGTTTCGCCGCGCCAAGGAGAAATTCGATGTTCCTCGTTGACTCCTGCGCGCGAATGCTTCTCGTTTTGTCGAACAAGAAAGTTAATGACACGATAACATCTAAAATCGTCTGCAATTCGCGCACATAGTTGGAAAACTTGACTTAAATTTAACATATATCGCATGTCTCAAACAGTCCACACAAATTTTTGTGTTATTAAATGGTAACACTAATAATATGTTAATATCTCAACACAAAATAAATGCAAACTTCATAGTAATTTGAAATAAATTTTGTGTAAAATCAACATATTTTTAATGATAAAATTATAACTTGGAAAAATGTTATTGACGGTCTATAGTCACTGTCACTCCTATTGTAGAATAAAATCAAAATTTTTATTCTATAAATTTTAACATATAAATCCTGTCACTAATAATACGGGACATATATCTATTGTGTAAAATTAAAAATATGTGCACTTTGTGTTATTTTTACACTTTTTTCAGTTGTTTTAATAATTTAACATTTGAGTTCAATTAACACAACAGCAATATGTTAAATTAACACATGAATGTGTTAAATATTTAACACAAAAATTTTAACCGGCATATTTTTTAACAAGAAAACACAAATTTTTCAACAGTGCAGAGATGAAAAAAAGACGAAAAGAAAACGTTTCCCATTTTACAATAGAATTTCTTGCAATTATCTGATCTCAAAGTAATATGAAATAAATTTTGTGTAAAATCAACATATTTTTAATGATAAAATTAACTTGGAAAAATGTTATTAACGATTTGTGGTCATTGTCATTCCTATTGTAGAATTAAATCAATATTTTTTTCTGTACTCTTTTAACAGATAAATCCTGTTACTAATAATACGGAACATAACTATTGTGTAAAATTAAAAATAGATGCACATTGTGTTATTTTTACACTTTTTTTCAGTTGTTTTAATAATTTAAAATTTGAGTTCAATTAACACAACAGCAATATGTTAAATTAACACATGAATGTGTTAAATATTTAACACAAAAATTTTAACCGGCATATTTTTTAACAAGAAAACACAAATTTTCCAACAGTGCAGGGATGAAAAAAAGACGAAAAGAAAACGTTTCCCATTTTACAATAGAATTTCTTGCAATTATCTGATTACTGAAATATAACAAAAGCAGCAGATAAAAAGTGGTTTGCTTAAACTTGACATTCTTTCGATCGAACTCTATAAAATACACTTTGAAATCACAACACTATTGATTTATGCTACCACAATTCATGAATGTCGCCATACGGTCTAGTCTTAAGAAGATTGCACCGTTCAATGCAAGGGAAATGTTTGTTATCGATATCGAAGAAATGTGTTATCGCTCGAATCATATTTCAAAATAATGGCATGTGCATGCGCAAATAAGGTGTCACACACAAAGCGCTCGTTGACAACGCGATATGAAACACATATGTTCGAACTTACTTGTCAATTTCCTAAAAAATAACGGGGACCGATAAATCTCGGGAATAAAAATGAAAGTTTTTTTTTATATATAGGAATATTTATTATTAAAATATAGCAGTAAATTTATTTTAATATCTAAGTACACAGCCAAACTTCAAAAAATCTAAAAGATGCAAGGCATTAAAAATCAAAATTTAGATCTTAATTTTATACCGAAAAATCATGAGCAACACGTATTTTTCAAATGATCCTTCTTTTAACAGTTTGATTAAAGGATTATAGGAGTCTAGAAAATGAATAAAAAAAATATTTTTGTAATATTGTGTAAAATTGTTATTTAAACAAATAGGCAAATATGATACTTTGTTTTAAAAATATATTTTTAATAATAAAATCAAGATGACAAATCGCAAAAGATATTACGCCATTACTATTATTTTACTTCAATATTTTTTATAATTTTTCACCTTATTTTCATTCAATAGTCTTATATCCTTAAACAGGATTCGTGAATAGCGGCGGGGCTCATCGCACTTGCGTTGACCTCGAAAAGTCCGCGATTATGTTTACTCGGTCGTACCATGGACTTTGACGCGACCGACCTGGCAATCGATCGGGCACAAAGTTGAACAGCCACATAATGCACAGAGGATTGCGACAACGTGTTGCTGCAACGGCATTTGCACTCCTGCTTTATTTATCTAACAAAGTCGGGATCGGTTCCTGCGTCGATTACTATATAATTGCAAAGAGAATTGTACATTTTTCTTCGATACAAAATGCGAGATGGTTCGGAGAATACCGAGAAAGAACGGTCGTAACTTCTCATCAAACGATCGCGTGAAAAAATTTTTATACAGCCAACTTAATCGAATTTGATCTTTTTGCGTGATGCAGCGGATTTCGAGAAAGTCTTTCTCGATCAGGGATATCGATGGCGAACATATTTCATTTTTGGCATCTAAGGTGATCATCTGCGTGTTTATTATTCCTGCAATAATTCTCTCATTACGTATTTCAATATACATATTCGAAAATCTATTTTCGATTATTTTTATCTTTATTATTTCTGAAATAATTCTTATTGTATATTTCAATATACATATAAAAAAATTTGAAAAAATATCTATTTTCATATAATATAAATCATTAATTTGTCATATATATATATAGGTAAACACATTGATACGCTCTATACATTAGTCTTCATGGTGACAAACTTAAAGCTCTCTCTCGTGAAAATATTCCGAGGTTCTTTAAAGTTCTGATCAAGTGTCGAGTCGACAATGTTCGTCGTCGAGGGAGAAATAGAAAAATACGAGTCCTTTGTCGCGCGAGGTAACGTGTCATAGGTCTACCTGCTTGGGTAGCCTCGATCTAAGCCGGCTCCAACCTAGCGTAACCTCGTGAGACCAGCGGTTCACCAACGCGAGAGAACGCGTCCTTGGTGCTCAGGGACACCTCGGACGTGCGAGGCTCCTCCGTCCGCGAATTAGGTCGAGACGACGACGATGATGAGAGCAAGAGAGTGAGACTCATGCTCTCTCGTAACCAATTCGACGTCAATAATAATAGCGCGACTTCGACCGCCCTCCGAGGTTTCCCTTCCGCGCCATCGGATAAACGCGTCGAGAAGAGCGATTTATTTATTTTTTATTTATTTATTTTTTTTCTGTTTATAACGTCAACAATCATCCATTGTTATATTGTACGATTACGTATACACGTTGATCACTCGAAATCGAATTATGCGAATAATGTATACAGTCCTCTGTGATCTCAGTCTCTCTATTCGAATTATTTTTGATCTATAGGGATTCAGAAAGAAACATATATATTAATTCTGCAGTTGAATACGCTTTTTATTTTAATTTATGCAAATTGCATCTAATATGTTGATTCGTCGCGAACTAGTCGCGCGAGATCTGGGTGAAAAAAATTGTTCCTTTCACCGAACTTTCCTGGCGACCTTGAACCTTCGACCTTGCACGGCACAGTGCCAGGATGCACCACATTGACTTCTTGGAACGGGCAGGAATACAAACTTAAAACAGATTGCATTTTATATAAATTACATACTTCTGCGCGTTGAGTTTTATGATCGAATTCAATCATTATTTTGACAGAAGAAAATATGTGCGTTAAATTTCTGCAAGACCATTAAATTTCCGCTATTTCAACATATATATATATTGTAGTTAAATAGGGTGTTTACTAAAAACATGAAAAACCTGTAATTTTCAGGAATTTTTTATTTGGAAAAATCAGGGAATTTTATTGGAACTCGAGAAATTTCTTTTTGGAATTTGTTTATTGATAAATTTGCTTCAGGGAATTTTTTACAAGATTTAAGTAGATACTCTGAATATAATAAATCAATATAATAAAGAAAAATATATATACATATAAGAATAACGAAAAGTCAAATATGTTCGAGATACGAATGTATTTGTAAAATTTCGAAATGACGGAAACGTGAAAAAATTTTTGATAGCACGAAAAAGAGGGCAATTCTCAGATATTTTGTCTGTAATAGTCTCGAGTTTAAATGAGATCATTGAAACTTAATGGGAATTTAATATATCAGATAATACAAAGTGGAAAAACTGGCAAGTCAGAGC